AGTGTAAAACTTCTACACACAAATTTTTAATGAGGGAGCTCGGGAGGGCTAGCGGGCTGACTCAGTCAGTCTAGCCAAAAGGCGTAATAACCCCGAATTGATGATTGGCTGCACATACAAATTCAAGGTTTCCAAGCTCAGCCCTATCTTATTCTTTTATATATACTAATAATTATATTTTTAAAATAAAATAACTTTTAAGATATTAATAGATATCTTAATCGCTATAATATATATTTAAAAGATTTTTATATACGCTATACGATCTATTAAACTCGAATTTATTCTATTAAGAATCGTTAATAATTAATAACTAATTTAAATTATTAAATAATTATTCGAATCTAATATTTATTAAAATTATTTTAATTATTCTTTAGAAGAGCGTTAAGATAGATTTTTAAGATTATATCTTAATTTATTATAATTAAAATTATCTATTAATACGTTAAGTACTTTAAATATTATTAATAAATCTTTAAAAATAGTTTTAATAGTATCGCTTAATCGAGATTAACTCTTAAAACGAGCTTTAATATATCTATTCGCTACTTAATTTAATATTAAAATATAATAAAGATAAAAGATAAATTTATAATCTCTTATTTCTATATAACTACTTAATTAATAATAATATTTAAACGAAGTAAAGTATATTAGAATATATTATATATAATAATATAGTAAAAGTATTACTATAGAAAGATCTAATAATTTAATTTACTAAAAGAGATCTTAAAGATATCTTTAGATATATATTTATCGCTATATCTAATTAATAGCTATTTAATTTTAATTATAATAAATACTATTAAAAAGAATAATATCTATTATTTAAATTATATATATTATTATTTCTATTTAATCTCTTTATAAAGATCTTTACTTAAATCTTAATCGCGATTTTTTTATAAGAAGTAATATTTTATTACTTAGACGATTTTTTTATAATTCTTTTATTAAATAATAACGTAATTATATATATCTAGTAATTCGACTAATTATATAGCGAATTAAGTTTTTAAATTAATTATATAAAGATTTTTATAAATTTTATAATTAAATTTTTGAGAATTAAATTCGATAATATTTATATAGAGATAAGACTCTCTTCGAATAAGCTAATTAAGATAAAAATTATAATTAAAAACTTTTTAAAAAGAATAACTATCTTATATTAGAAGCTCGAATTAATAATTAACTTTCTCTTCTTCGCTATTAAAGTTATAATTTTAAAAAGAATATTCTTAAAATAACTTTTTAACGCTCTTCGAAGATTTATAATAATTATATAAATTATAAATAATATAAAAGTAGATTTATTATAGTAGAATATCTTTTTAAAATATTAGAATAGTATTATCTTAATATATTATATTAATAATTACGTTATATAATATATATAAATTAATATATTTAAAAAATTCGATATAAAAGACTATATTCTAGATTATTTCGATTATATTTAATTAATTTAATTTAAAAATATTTTTAATATTAAAATAACTATATATTATTATTTTAAAGATATATAATTTAAAGAAATAAAGATTATTTATTATACGATAAAGCTATAATTATTTTAATTATAAGAATCTTACTTAATTCTCTACTACGATAATAATATATATATTAATAAATTATATAAATTCTTTATATATAGATTAATTATAGCTATATTACGCGATATAATTATATTATTAATTACTTATAATATTATAATAATATTTATTTAAATATCTATAAAGATTAATTAACTAGTTAATAATTTATTATATTTTTAATATTAAAAAATCGCTAATATATATTTATAGCTAAGAAATCTTATATTTCTATTAAAATAGAATGAGATTTATTAGAATATTAATATAATTAAACTATATTATCTCGAGAGACTATACGACTTCTCTAATCATCTATAAATCTAAAAAGTAAATTTCCGTACGATTTCCGCCGAGTTCGTATTATAAGTACGACTTAGTCTATTAAGTAGACTTTATCTATATCTAACTCTTTTTACTAGTTCTATTAATTTAATAACTTTAAAAATTTTTAGTAACTTTAAAATTTTTACGTAATATACTCTACTTAATATACTCTAAGTACTATTCTATACTATATATATAATATTAATATATATTATTATTAATATACGTATTATTATACGCTATATTAGAGTATTATCTACGCGACTAATTTTATTAAATCGTCTAATTTCGTAGTTAAATTTAAATTAACGTTAATACTTATTGTCGTAGAATCTTATCGTCGTAACGTTAATTATTAGAACTTTTCTTTTTTCGTATATATTACTATTAAACTAATAGAACTAGTAGAAAAAATTAGAATAGTTATTAAATCGGCGGAATTTTAGCTAATTTTTAAGATAGTTGCTAAATCGGCGGAATTCTTAATTTTAGCCCTATTTGTAAGATTAGTAATTTAAAATTTAATAGAAACTTTTTAAATTTATAGATAATAGAAACTTATTATTAAAATTAGAAAAATATAAATAATATTAAGAAATTATTATAATTTAACTTATATATATATATAATATAAAAGATATTAATTATCTATATATCTATAGAGTAGATATATACGATATTAAGTCTACGCTAGTAACTCTATAAGTATTTCTAAAATATCTTATAATAATTATCTATAAAAAATAGAAAAATATTATATTCTTATAGTAAGAAGTATATATATATATATATATATATACTTTTCGAAAACTTAAAAAGAAGTAAAGATATCGAGCTAATTAGTAATATATATCTTATAAAATCTTCTACTAGAATAAAACTTTTAAATAATAAAATAACTATCGAAGAAAGATATTAGATAGTTTTAATTTATTTAAATATATATTATTTAATATTCTTTTATAGAGATCTAATTAGCTATAATCGTTATAGTAAATTCTTTTCTTATAATATTATTATAATAATATATTATATTAATATAATAAGAATAATAAACTAAGTTATAATAATATTCTTCGCTTATTAAATAATAATTTAATATAAAATCGTAAAAAGTATATAATATAAGATTTTAAAGAGTATATAATATAAGATTATAGAGAGCTAAGTCGTATTCTTACTATTAATAATTTTATTATTACTTAATTTCTTTATTATATTCTTCGTAATATTCTTTATATTTATCTATTATAATTTCTTCTTTTATAGAATATTAGATTAAATAATTTATTAAATAATTAATTAAGTAATTAGCTAAGTAACTAGCTAAATAATTAATTAAATAATTAATTAAATAATTAGCTAAGTAACTAGTTAAATAACTAGCTAAATAACTTATAAGGCCTTAAATTTAGCCTATTCTTAACGTATATAGACCGCTCGATCTTAAAGGATTTTAGCTTGCTGCAGGAAGAATTTACAGTCTTCTTCGGTGACGAAATAGAATGGTTTGCTGCCTCTTTGAATATACTCCTGGGCCTGGACGTCGTACTCCCATGGGTAGCATTCTCTTAGGATACCGTTGTCGTATGCTTGTAGGGTCTGTAGGAATGCTTGCATTGTGATATCGACAGGCCTAGTGAAAGGATCGATGGGACGGTGTCAAAAGGTACTCGATGACAGCGAGTGTATTGGAGGTCCGGCTTGGAGCGTCACACTATTAGGTGTTGATGTGGGCTTTGCGTAAACGTCTGATATGACGCCTGGATGTCCTATGAAGTAGGGCCAGGTGTTGCTACCAATTGTTAAGGAATCATTATGGTTTAACTCATATATGTATGTGGTGTAAAAGATGTTGATTATCTATGTGCCTGCAGGGCAGATATGTGCGATGCCAAGCCTACGCTAGTGGCCCTATGAGTATCCCTAAGGCATCTCATAACAATTACCTATAAAAAACAGGGAAATATCATATCCTCATAGCAAGAAGTATACATACATACATACATGTGTGCTTTTCGAAAACTCGAAAAGAAGTAGAGACACCGAGCTAATTAGTAATATACATTCTATAAAATCTTCTACTAGAATAAAACTTTTAAATAATAAAATAACTATCGAAGAAAGATATTAGACGATTTTAATTCGTTTAAATATATATTATTTAATATTCTTCTATAGAGGTCTAATTAGCTATAATTATCGTAGTAGATTCTTCTCTTATAACGTTATTATAGTAATATATTATATTAATATAATAGAGATAATAAATTAAATTATAATAATATTCTTCGCTTACTAAGTAATAATTTAATATAAAATCGTAGAGAGTATATAATATAAGATTTTAGAGAGTATATAACGTAGAATTATAAAGAGCTAAGTCGTATTCTTATTATTAATAATCTTATTATCGCTTTTTTTTTTTTTTTTTTTTTTTTTTTTTTTTTTTTTTTTTTTTTTTTTTTTTTTTTTTTTTTTTTTTTTTTATTTTTTTTTTTTTTTTTTTTTTTAATTTAATTATTAATTTTTTTTTTTTTTATTTTTTTAATTAATTTTTTAATTTTTTTTTTAATTTTTTTTTTAATTAATTTTTTATTTTTTTTTTTTATATTTTTTTTTTTATTTTATTTTTTTTTTTTTTTTTTTATATATCCCTTTTTTTTTTATTTTTTTTTTTTTTTTCAGAAAAAATTTACAGTCTTCTTCGTCGGACCTCTCATCCTCACTGTTTGCGAACACTAACAGCTCATCGTCGGACCTCTCATACTCATAGCTTGGACTGCCAACGCCGCTAATACTATTCGCAGCGAACATGGGAAACCTTCTTTCGAGCTCGTAGAAAACGTCTGTCGCCAGGTCCTGATATCTTGGTGGAGGCAAAGTAGCAAGTCTTCGACGGGCCTGATTTCGTTTTGGATCGAAGTTGTCCTTCGGCAGCAAGTGAGGGGGGGGTGTGGACTGATCCACTGGTTTGCCGTTTTGCAGAGCTTTGCCTTCGTAGTAGCTCGTCGTAAACGTCCGTGCTTAGCTCTTGAAATACGATTAGTGGTAATCGTGACAGCTTTTCCCTCACTGTAGGTGGTCTTGGGTGGCCCTTCTCATCTCGCAGAGACTGAGCGAGGAACATCTTAAGGCTCGCGTAGTTTTGCAATAATCTTTTCTCCAGAGTAATGTCCTGCTCTGACCCTCGGAGGTGGGCATTGTAGTCTCATAGTTGGAGCGTGCTATTGGATATGGTGGATATCTTGGTTCTCTCCCTGGGTGATTCCGTCTGTCGTTGTCTCTACTTGTAGTTGCGGTTTTAGGTTCATTCTCAGTTTTGGACGCTGTGGTCTCTTCAGCAGGGGGTTGTTCGCTTTTTTCGTTGCTCTCATTACTCAACCAAATCCAGCGCAACTCTACGTTGGGCTCTGGTTGGGAAGCGACTCTCGAAGCAAGGTCACCAGATGGTCCTTCTCTGTCTCCTAACTCGGTGTGCAGGTGCAATGCTGCGTTGGGCTTGGTATCAAAGTCCTGGGGCGGCTTTGACGCCACCGGCAACTCGACCCCTGCCTTTGGTCTCAGCGAAGCTCCGGAACTACTCTTTGTCTCCGTCTCGTGGGTTACAGCTCCTTCGACGGCGGAGCCAACACCACAGTATTGCCCTTCTGCGTCATCGTCTGGATCCTCCTCGTCGAGCAAACCTCTGCTGCCAAGCTCCTCGATATAAGCCTTTATGAGACCCTTATGCTTTCGTATGACAGAGCTCGAAAAGCCATCCTGAAGCAATTCCCTTCGAAACTCCTTCCAGACGGCTCTATCGTCGTCCGTGTACGCTGTAAGTATCGATCCATCATTACGATTGATTTTCGACATCAAATGTGCGGTAATGCCGTTGACAGCGACCCTAATCTCCTTGAGGTCCCCTCCCGCATCATTCATCTGTCTTTCCACCCTTCCCATCGTGCCCGTCGACACCATGTTCAAGAACAGAGACATAGCCGACGTGTAATACGTCAACTTGCCCCTCAGTCCTCCCAGACCCTCCATCTTGCCATTCCCGAACTCTATCTTTTGCCATAGCTTCCTGCCGCTCCTTCCTTGTTCGCTAAGCGCGTTGTACTTTGTTAAACCCTGATCAAGCGCATTCAGAACCTTCTTACATCCATCGACGATGACCGTCAACTCTTCCTTAAACGTGCCGCCTGATTCTTCATCATTTATTGGGCTCCCGGGCTTCTCAGCCTCCTGCTCAAGCCGTCGTAGCACGACATGCAGACACAAGACCTCCCGCGTTAGCTCATCGTGCTCCCCACATGCTTTACGAGCCTGTTGAACGGTCTTCCAAGCTAGCTGTGTGAGTAAGATGGCATCGCCAATGCCGTACCCGAAGGACATGGCCGGCTAATGCAACGGAAGGGGGGGGGGGGGGGAGACGTTGCTTCTTGGCCGAGACGCTGCTCGCTTTGAGATTCGGCAGTAATGGCCAATCGTAATATATGACCGGTCTTGTGAAAGACACCGTTCGCAGTGATACTCATCAACGCAGAGTGAGCTTGTTCAATGGCGAGGCTGATGTTGGGGCTGCGCAACGTCGAGGCTGACGCTGCAGGGTGGTGGGAGGTGCATATCCTACGGGTATGACCAATGATACGGTCTTGCTTTTGAGCACGGCATACACCTTGAAGCACCAATGCCATCCCAAAGATCCCAAAGCGACATCACAGAGTTCCAGATGATGCTGCAGTCTGGTTGAATGACGAGGGCACTGGAATTCCCGTGGACCATCCGCTTTTATGGGAGGTTCTGACGGGAACGCTCAGCAAAGACAGTACTCGCACCACCCCCAGGAACGAATCACGCAGTTGGTGGCGTGTATCCATCGTCTCACTCGAACGCAGCAGTACTCAACGCCGGCGTTCACTTCATCTCGACCCCGGGTGAACGGAACACCCTAAGTGTGTATGCGGAATAACAACGACCCAAAGGTTGGCGCTGATGCTCTTTCCTTTGTTAATCTTACAATATTCCTTTGTTACAATACCAGCCCTTTCCTAATCATATCGTACATATCGTTTATAATTACCAGGGCTGGTAATTAACAGCCACTAGCCACCAGCCATCTGTTTTACGTACATAGATATCCGTACATCCCATTAATCAACAAAGTCTTTCAGTCTTACAATTATTCTTTTTTAAACATGTCTGGTATCCTACTTTCAACATCCTTCAGAAAAAGAGCCGAGTGAAATGTACCCGGACTCAAAAAAACAGGCGTCCGATAATTGGTATCGGACGGGAACCAGAAAATGGTACACGAACACAGCACTCCAAGCGGGTGAAGGAAGGCGTAGATGATTCTCTACGGAAGCCTGCAGCACAATACCTTTCTACCCCTCCAAGCCGAGCACGCTACTGTATGCCGCTCGTGCTGTCCCAAAAGAGGATTACCTGACAGAGCGAGGACACCAATCGGTCATTCATTCCACTTGGCCATCCGGATGTCGCTTGATCTATTGGCGTCTCGCTCTAGATCAAGTACTTCACTTCCTCGGTCAGCTGCACCATCAATATCATCCCCTTCACGAACCACCTTCTGCAAAGCACTCCGTCCCCAGTGACCACATCAATCAATCCGATCGTAACCGACCCCAACCTTCCCACCCAGATCCTCGGATCCTCAGACAAATCATTCCATCACCCGCTAGTAGACAAAGTAACGCGTACTATACAGCGAGCACCTACTACCTAATCCGTAAGGCGCCGGCCGAAAAAGAAAAGCCACCTACCGTTGCCCGGGTCAGTCGCAGCGTGAGACTCCATCACCGATCTGGACCCAGTCCCAGTCCCAGTCGTTTCCGTTTCCCTTTCCGTTTCCGATGCGTTCCCCCATTCACGCGACCGAAGCAACTCAAACACCGACCCGCAACCTTACCTCCAAGAGGGTTTTTCCGAGGCACCACGCAAGCAACAAGCAACCAACAGACAGCTCGTGCGCCTGAAAACCACTCCACCTGTAAAAAGACGCCCCGCCCCGGATTCCAAGTGATACGTACGGTAGACGATCCAACAGATGACGCCGGAGCGTGCGCGTGTAAGGGCTGCAAATGCGGTGCCCTCGCGTGCAGTAGACGCCGCAGCCATGCAGGACGACACGTGTGAAAGTGGGGAGGTGAGGGAAGGAAGCAAAGCCACCTCCGGGCCGCGTTTGAGGTTAGCATACATACGGCGTGGGAGGTTGTGCTGCCCTCGAATGACTTTTTCAAAGGTGAGATGACTAAGGACGGAGGGCTTCATATGCACGGGGGCGTTTGTATGTGGCATTATACTTGGATGGAACGTGTGTGTGGTAGATGATGAGCGCTGAATGACTTGATGGCATGAGCGCTGAATGACTTGATGGAACCGTTCATTACATAAGCTATCTTTGTAGGACGGGCTCATTGATCATCAGGAAGCTGGGAGATTCCCGCGGAAAGAGTGGTTTTGCGGTCCTTGCCAACGGTGAGATGTTGGTTGGGTGCAGATCTGGCACCGGAAACCCTCGAGAAATGGGTTGAGTCTGCTCCCGAGAGATTTTGCGCAGAGCTTGCCGTTCGGAATGCGATGTTCCGAGCTCTCAGCCTGTGGAAGTCGGGCGGACTCGAAACCCATTGATGTTCCTGCTTGTTCAGGCTCATATCCTCGCAATTGCTCAATGCCTTGTCCCCTCTTGTCCTTCAACAGCAATATCTTCGTGGCTTTCGCGCTGCTTACATATATTCCCGAGGTCGAGAAATGTAGTCTGGTAATAGCATCTCTACCCCGGCCGGCGGCAATCCCTACACTCTTCTCTCCTCGACGCGAAATCCTCGAGTTCCTTCACCCCCTTCAGATGGCCGGAACCCAGACAGTAGCACAGCTGCTGCGGCCACAGCTCCTTATCGGTCGTAGGCGAGACCAGCTTGACGCCTTTGATCTTGGTGCTGATCTTGGTTGGTGAACTATGTCGAACGCAGGCACTGCTCAGTGTGTATTCTTCACGTCTTCTATCCAATCAACCCTAGAGGGGGGAATCGAAAGAGTAGCGCTCATACATCGGGTTTGCATTCCCCTCCGCTGTCTGGAGTGAATAGATGCGCCAGATTCGCGCCATTTGCGACTTTACCCACTCTCTCTGCCCTTCGCGCAAACATTCCGTCCTGGTCTTGAGCGACGTCTTCATGGGTTCGAGAAGATGCCAGCCACCAAGGGCGGCGGCGGCACGGCGGTGGTCCTCACATGCCTTTTGCGTGCCGTTGTAGGGGTACTCGATTCCTTCTCTGTCGCCTGGGCTGCCGAATGTCTTTGTGCCGAGAGCGTAGGGCACCGAAGCGCACATGTCGTCAATCATTTCTTGCGTCATCATCCTAGCGTATACAGCGCGCCAGTACCATTGGTGCTCGAAAGGCTTGTCGAACCAGGCGATGCAGTCGAGAATGATCGTCTGCACTTTCACGCGAGCGGAGCGGTAGGCGTTCCAAATGGATTCGACCCAGAGGTCGAGGTAGATGTCCTTACGGTCTTTGTAGATGTAGGCATCGCGGGAGACGGAGGCTGGTGGGAGGTCGAAGTGATCGGCTGAGGTCCACTTCCATCCTTCGGGCAGGCTTTCGGGCCAAGCCGCCACGAGGAGGTCCACGGATATGGCGTATTCGAGTAGATCGTTGACTTCTTTGTCGGAGTCGGAGCTCCTTGGGAGGAGGAGGGCGGATCTGGCGCACGAGCGGAGATCGGCGATGTTGATTGTGGCGGAGGTAAGGCGGGCGGCGGCATTTTGAGGGAGTGACTTGAACATTGCACTTAAGGCATCAGGGCATCTCTTGAAGGAGGTGCCTTCTTCGATGGCATGCTCAACCTTCTTCCTCTCAGCCCAAGGTCAGCCTCGTGAGGGATCGGTACTTACAAGCTGAGAGCGGACAGAGAAAAGCAAGCCTACAGACAGCGACGACTTGCAATTCTCCTGACCTCGATGCATCACCAGAGCTGCTGCTCCGGCATTGTGCGTTGAAACCATACTGGACTTCTCGGCGTCTGAAGGAGTTTTAGCCGTAGCAGTAGCAGCGATTTTCTAGAGGGGGCAGTGATCAGCGAAGGTCGAGACTGGAAAACAGTTTGGTAGAGGCTATTAGAACCGCATAAGTCGTGTTGCTGCAGTCCAGATGCAATGTGAAATGCCCAACTACTAGTCGAAAGCAAGAGGGCAAGTGCCACTATCGCGCATGGAAATGGGATCTACCCGGTGCAATTGCCATTGCATGAGTTTGCAGGCCGCGTAGTTAATTGAGTGCAATAGAATACGAGCAGGAGGTTGGCTTGCTTGTATTGGGTTGAGTATGAGTATACACCAGTTGCAAGGGCGGGATCCCAAGTCCTGCCCAATGCTGATGGGATTGACCCCAACCACGGCACATCTTTTAGACAAAACTCTTGGCTTCCTGTCTGGCAATTATTTTCCCTATGAAACATGCCTTGAAAGGGTACAAGCAAAAGAGAAGAGCATTGCGAGAGTGCGAGAAGATCGCCATGACACAAGGTTGTGGACAAGAGGCAGGAAAGTGAAGCAACGTACCTCGAACAAGCCCAGGAGAAGAACCGCCATCAACGTCTCATCCTTCCTCGACTCTTCCGGATTTCGAATGGCCGCACTCGTCTTCCGCAACGCTTTCCCAAAGATGGTTCGACCAAGTTGCTGGTCATTGCGTCTGGTCGGCGAACCTCCGGAGATCATCAAAGCCACTGATGAAGTAGCTAAGGATAAAGGCGAGTCAGCACTAGTGGTAGTGTACAGAGGTAGTAAGTGCTCGAGATGGCCTTCTATACTGTCCGGATGGCGAGGCAGAAGGACGAAATCGAGGAAGAAGGCACAGATGGCTTGTTGCTCCGGGAAATCGTTGAACATCCTTGGGACCGGTTCATTTGGTGAGTAACGTTTGGCAACAGCGCGGGACGGGTCCCCCCCGGGATTGACAATGGCCCACGTCGTTGACGCGGGATCCTCTGAAGATGCAGACTGAGGTGGTGAGGGAGGCTTTGGCCCTTCATCTTGTTGCTGCTTCTTGCGTTGGGCCTTCCGCCGGACTGCTTTGGTCTGGTCACGTAACACGAGGTCGAAACGGGCAAGGTAGCCAGGGCATTGCCTTTTGGTGTTGATGCACTGAGAGCAGGCCGGGACCGCTTCATCGCACTGCCGAAGGGTGAGACGGGGATTTGTGGTAGGGAGCGGGTCGCTTCAATGAGCCGCCCCGTAACTTTACACGTACCTTGATCTTCCGCTTTCTGCAATTCTGGCAGCCGGCACTAGGCTTTCCTTGATAGACCATGGCGGTGAGACACTTGACAGAGGATGATGAGATGTGAGGCTATTGAATTGGGGGTTCGGGATTAGGACAAAAGCAGTATGTCTTACGAGCGGTGAGGGAGGGAAGATTGGGTTGGAATGTATCTACGTATCATATATATAAAAGTTAGAGGAGAAAAAGAAGAAGGAAAGATCTTTATGAAGATGCTCAGCTTGTGCTCTTGTTCGGGGTTCTTGGCAACAGCAGAGCATTTTTAGGGTCATTGGGTCATGCACCTCGCACGCTAGCGGTGGATGGCGTTGTGCGGGAGGCTTTCACGCGGTCCTCGTACCAAACTCGAAGTGGTCCGAGTTGCGAACTGACTAACCGGGCTAACCGCTCCAAGTGTAGAGCGACGGTGGCACCCGTCTTCTGGGAACCTTAAGGCTTGGTGCAAAGTCTCCACCGCCAAACCCCCCCCATCTTGCCAACCGTTCCCAAGTGTTATTACGTTCCCAACTGTTACTAGGGGCTTTAGAGCAGTATCGGATTGAAGCTTCTTTCAACATCAGAGACTATGCAGGCACCCATCTCGAAATAAGGGGTTGCACGACGCCTGAGACCATCATGAAACATGGCGTCGTGGAGGTCATGGCATCATTTTGTTTTGCGTCAGCTACAGGACTCATGGCTTCAGCGTGTTGGGTTTCACCTCTGCTTCATGATTCTGAGACGAATTGAAGTCACGGAGATTGTCGTGGGGATGGTCTACTTTCTTGCTTGCTGCGTAGAGTCAGCTGTATGTTGAGTTCTGGCGTTCTGTAATTAGCTGTTGGCAACAATCCAGCAAAGACGAGAGGGAGATCCCTGTGGCACGGGAGATAAAGTACCTGCGCTGAGTTAGAAGATCCCTTCCGGTATCTCCACCGCCAAAGTACTTCCACAAATTGGACATTGATAAACAGCGCCTTCTCCAATCGCCATCGAATGCTTTGCCACAAGATCAGCCTTCGAAACGGTTCATATTCCCAAAGACGGAGAAAATCAACATGACAAGGTAGACGTAACGTCCGTCCCATGCTCCACGTGGACTCACACCACGTGGAAAAATTCCAGTCCTTTCGGCTTCACACCACGAGGTTTTGCAAAGAACACAATCATGACGTCTATGACTGCCACTTTGCTGACACTTCTCACCCTTCCCACCCTCCATTCATTCATTTTCCACCGCACCTTTGTTCGGATATTTCTCGGCTTTTGGTAGAGAGGTGTGGGTTGGTACGAGTACCACCGGGGCTGGCTGCATCAAGGCTGCGTCAGGGCTGCATGAGATGCCGCAGTCCGATAACGTGGGAAAGTGCAAGCCACGATGCGGCTGCGTCTCTTGGCAGTGGTGGTTAATGCAGGACGGCAAGCTTCTTGTTTGAGGGTTTTGGGCTGAGGGTCCTTGAGCATTTATAACTTTGCGTGAAAGATGGGGCATGCTGGGGGCCTTGGCAGTGAGAGAGTGTCCGTTGGAACTTGGCTGACGTGAGGAAGGATGCCTTGCACGAGGGTCATCTTCCTTTGGTGGGAGCGGGGGTAGGGAGGAAGCCTTTCAAGCCGAGTTGGTGCACGAACGGAAAGGTTTTGATCCAGCAGAAAGGTGCCATTGGAGATGAGGTCATGTTCGTGTAAAATTATCTAAAGAAGTATCTAAAGGGTCCTTGGTATCATCACAATTCTATCAACGCAGAAAGCAATCCCACTGCATGGACCTTCGCTCAAGAGTAAGGGCCTGCAGGTCAAGGACCAAAACAACAATGCATCACGCTCTATGATGCCCCAAAGTACCCTTTCCTGTCACCGTTAGGTGGAGACTCCGCATCATGAACCTTCTCCGCATCCGCCGTGGTGAATTCTCCCATCGGGCTGGTTGTCCCATGCATCTGCATCTCCGGGAACACCAATGCAGGATGGAAAGCAGTCAGGCAGAAGGTAGCAATGGTAATCATGACACTGTCCAAACCGATGAAGTCGCCCTGGTCCTGCATGATCGGGTTACCCCATCCATTGGCCATCTCACCAATACGGAAGACACAACGAGTGATAATGGTTAGGTATGCGAGGACGAGGCCGCCGATGAATAGCTTGAAGCGTGTCGCGTTCATGAGCTTCACAGCTGAGTGTTCGAGCTCGGACCGGCGGGCGTACACCCTGGAGGCGTAGTCCCCAACCATACCTCCGAATATGAGGAGCGTGAATACTTGCCACACGATACCGGCCATCATCATATCGTTGCCAACATTCTGCAGCGAAGAGCCGTTATTGGCTGTAGCTGCAATCCCCCGCCGGCTCCCTGTATGATGAGAGAGAAGAGGTCGGCGAGGCAGAAGATCCAGGTGTAGAACTTAGGTCGGATGCGGGAGAAATTGGCGCCGAGCTCGAGAGCGATGTGTTTGAGGGTGAGGTATACACCGGCGGTGATGAAGGCAGGGGAGATGATGAGACAACAGATCTGGATTTCGAATCCGTTGCTCGACCAGGGGTTGCTGTGGAGCATTATTCTTCCGACATAGCCTGGTGTGGATGTCAGCGGGCAAAGTAATGGAGTGAATGTGAATGGGCATACCGATTGCTTCTCCGAGACAACCAAAGCCCAATGCGACCAGGTATGTCCATGTCTTGTATCTTATGCCGAGGACCAATTGGATGCCCAGGCAGAGTGCGAAGAAGGCACAAAAGAAGGCATTTGCGCCAAGATTGGGGTAGTAGCCGTAGATGGTGAGGTCGACCGGGCAGTATTCACTGACACTGGTGCAGTTCTGTACTGAAGATTTGGTTGCGGGGAGAATGGTGGGTTGAGGTGGGTTCGACATAGCTGTAGTAAGGGGTGAGGGAGAGAGGAGATGAGATGGGGTGGGAGTTGGGAGTTGGGAAGGTGTTTGAGAGTTGAAGAGAGGTGTGGAGATTCTGTAGATAAAACAGGAGAGTTGTCCGAAGGATATATTGCTGCCTGCTCCCACTTACAAGTATTCATACACGGCAGAGAAGAAGGTTTATATACCAAGCTCGCTTATACATTGCAAGCGAATATAGGATTCATTGCTCAGCCATGTCCACTCCTTATTCGCTGCCGGGTGAAGCGTCGACGTACTCGTCAGCCAATATTGACATAGCCCTCGAGTCGTGCGTGATCCTGCCGGCGCGGTGGACGCACAAAGGTCCGATTCCGCCTCGGTTATTTTCAATCCTCATACGATTACGCGGAACTGTTAACGAGCTGCTAACCTTTTCAGACTTAAGCCTTGCAGATAGTATTAAGTTCGATACTTCTGATTGGCGGAGACGTAAAGAGTGGAGTCAGCGGGTTCCGTCAGAAAATCGGTCTGCGAAACTCGGAGTCGGGCACGGGCGCACGGCTCGTCTGATTAGGAGTTAGAACAGCCCGCGCCATTAGGGGTATTCGGAGCAATGTTACGCCTGCCACTGCCAAGCCTGGGCCTATTTACCCGAGTTACGACCTTGAAAATTCACTAGGATCTCAGGAGTTTGACGACCCAATTATGAGAAAGCTACCTAATGCTCCCAGCCCTGATGCAATATATCAATAAGTCCAAGAATTCCTTGTTAATATATTTATAGCCAAAATGATCCATACGGTCTAGTTTATACTCAACAGTACTTCGAATCTCACCAAATTGAAGCGAAACGGTCCAATCAATTACCACCCCCCAAAGAGGAAGATCTTCATCATCTTCTTACATGCACTGTTTCTACCAACAGTGTCACCAAGTCAAGACGATTCTAGCCTGAGAGAATCAAGATACAAAAGGCAGGACGAGTATCGAGTTGGACGCCTTGGTGATTCAGAAACGAACCAAATTAGGCATGATATTAAGGAATCGAGATCAGTTTCACCAAGACGTAGATTAAGAGAATGAAATTTGGTTGCAAGTTAATTATGCAGTCTTGATCGCAAGGCCTTGACACGCTAGCAGTGGGCCCTTGGTATGCTAGGATTCCTGGAACTGTGACAGGTGCGAGCTGTTTTATCACCGCTGGAGAGAAAGATCACATATGGACATGGTGGCTAGATTTGCATCTTTGAGATTTCGTGTCAGTGGTTCCAAGTTCGGCGGTAGGATCTTCGCCGTCAAGAATATGGCTACGGGCTTTGAAGAGTCGCAGGTAAATAAAATCATTCAATCGAATTGCTTAGCCTTACCAAGGAAACACTGCGTGTCTCCTGTGATATCCCGTGTGGTAAAACGTTTAAACGGCGAACATCAAAGCAAACCAGCCTGGACCCAAACAGCGCCGACAAACCTCAGAGGTCGAAACGGCATCCGGCAGATCAAGCGGTAGCAGCCCATCACTCGCAACACCACCATCCAACTCGTCGACAAACCCAAACCCCAGACCAACGCACGCCGGACATAGATCCCAAGAAACACCTCCCGAAAGCCACTGTCGAGCATCCAGTCCGGGATCCCCCCTAGGCGATGCGACATGCGAGAAATATGCCCGACAGGGTTCTGACGGCAAAACACCCGGTTCCTGGGCTTGAAAGGGTCGCATGGAGGGAAGAGACGCAAAACGTGCACACGCGTAGGGTCTGCGAAGGACCGTTGCCCGTGGGGTCCTGGCCATGAGTGTAGAGTACGTCCAAGCCCGGTCGACGGCGCGGTGAACGAGGTAGCGCAGAGAAGATATGTTCTTCTCACATCAAGCCTGTGTTGTAGATAGTTGCGGAGTCGACAGACAACTGGCGATGTCGCCGGTGGAAAAAGAAAAGCTCGATGGCCGCAAGCATCATCGTGTTCGGACAGCAGTTCAAGCCCGGTGGCAAGTGAAATATCGATGTCGCAACATGGGTACTATCTCCCTGCCCCAGACGGACCTCATCGAGACATACGGGGCACATTGATTACGGTGTTGTTGCTGCAAACCCATGGATGGGCGTCTTCAATGGCTGCTGATTTGAATAGAAGTACGGGCAAGACTGGAAATTTAACGAACAAAACAGCCTTGCATCGTGATTTGAAGTCGCATGCCTCGTCACCACCACAAACATCGATCCTCTAGACCTGAATATCGTACTCCCCTCCGCACCAACATCAGCCCCTATCACTCCTCTCCCAGCCATCACCCACATCTCCACAGAACGCTCACGTGCCCCCAAGACAATCGTCACAAGTACTCGGGTTCAACAGCTCGCATGTAAGGTCGACAGGCAAGCAGGGAGCATCGGGGCAATTGGCCGGGCCTAGTTGTTCCGCGATGTACTTTTGGACGAGACAATCCTCATTGAGCTACTCGATGGCGCAGAGACCGTCTGCGCCATTGCATCTTTGTAGGGCGGTTTGGAGCCTATGACGCGGGTCAAATTCATCAGTGGATGCCTGGAAATTAGTGGAGGTTTTGCTTGTGTATTCGTAGACCGCGTTTGCGGATGACTGCTCTTCGTGCCTGACGAGGAAAGAGTTAAAAAGGGCCTGCTGTTACCCATTATAGATATCCACTGGAGTGATCTGAGCCTTGTTATAGGCATCCACATCATCGGTCCCAAGAAATCCATTGTGTTTGGTCTTAGCCATGCAGGTGAAGTTGGTCGTGCAGTGGCCGCAGGTGTTGGTGGAGCTTTGGGCAAAACCCTGATTCGGATCGTGCCGCTAGACTCAGACATTGGCTGCCCAGTAGCAATGTTTTCGTTGGTCAGCAACACCCAAGAAACCTGTCAGCGGACCACAAGAGCCGGTAATGGCAATTGTTCTCTCGCCTTCCTTGGCCGTCTACATGGCAGAAAGGGTCGCCAACGGTGTTTCCATCGAGGGCAATGTCGGCAATGGCTGATGGTATTAGGAGAAGGTATGCGCTTGCCACATATTCAAAGATTGACAGCTTCATGATGATATGCGCCTGGAATGCTGCAGCTATTCGTGCTTGGGGGTTGGGAGAAGGGGCACAAAGTGCGAGTGAGTGTGATGAAGAGGGAAGAAAAGGGAAGGAAGCCTGTGAAGTCAGGACTTTTGGGTAGGAGACGACGAGGTGACACATTGTAGTGAGAGTAGACATTCTCCGTCAAATTCAAAGACACAAATTTGACGTCGGTGTTTCTTCCGCTACCCTCCAGGCAATGCAAGCAAGGCATTTTCTTGGGGCCCCAAACACCTAAGTGTATCCTGGGGGCAATCCGAGCTCACGCCGTGGGCAACCATCCTGGCATGCAGACTGGCAAAAAGGTCGGAAACTTGTAGTTGGATCACTGTACTGTTGTAGATTTCGGCAGATGGAAGAGCAGTTGGAGAAACCGAAGACGAGGATCGGATCTCATAATGCGGATGACAATTGCCATACTTTCCATCATCAAAGCTTCGCGTTGCCCTTGATGACATCCCTCAACAGCTTCAATCCCTCGACCGCAAATGCAACCATGTTTCCTTCTCTGTCACCTCCCAATCCTGTTTCAACTTCTTTCATAGATGTTGCTTTCTCCGTCGCTACCGCAAGCGCAACGTAGCCCCTACAATATAGACTCAAGTCAGCCACTAACCCTCGATTCGCAAGCGCGCTGCCAGGAAATTTGGCAATAACGATGGTAGAGAAGGCCTTGAATATTGGCAATATGAGCACGAAGTTTGAGGTTCATTGTTTATAAGGACTCTGTCCGGATTGTTTCTTCATATGGTTTGCCATATCTTCTTCTCGTATGACCTAGGAGCGCACAAAATCCGAAAGATGCCAGTGCATAAGGCTGCCGGATTTTCTGGCAGCTTGCCTGATCGGTCATCCAAGATAGGAATTTAAGACTCACGGGGTCCGGTTCCTCGTATTCCCTCCTGTCGGTCCTGCGGTCCCACTTTCACAGACGCAGTACGTAGCGCTCAGCGTCCCCCTCACATTCTCCGCCAAACCCTTCACCACATCCTCCGTAGGGCCTTTATATGACTTCAAATGGTCTTGAGTCCACCCCGCAAACGCAATGCGTGACTCAAGCGTGTACAGCGTCAAGCCGCCTTTGTAGATTTTCGAAGCGCCTGGAGTAGAGAGCAGGGAGGCGGAGATGAGACCGCCGGCGGCCTATGACAGGATTTCAGGCATTGGTGCAATTTTTCGGCTGCGAACTAAAGGCAAGAAGGATGCTGGAGAGGCTGAGCGTACTGTTTCGGCCACGCAAACGGTTTCGGAGCGTTCTTTGAGGAGAGCGGAGACTTCAAAGGCCATTTCGCGGACTGCTGGTGGAGGGAAACCCGAGGCCATTGTCGAGAAGGAAGCGAAGTAACGGAGCTTGACCGCGTGGAATGTTGTTTTTCTAACCAACGTAGTAGTCGAGATGCAGTCGCGGAGGAAAATAGGAATGTACGGTACTGCAATTCAATTGGGATAAAGGCCCTGACGTGGAGCCATCCAAGCAGTCCTAGCTCAGCCTTACGAGCTCTCCCATTCCACCTTCCTCTTTAGTCCGAGGCGTCTCTTCTTTTTCTTTCCCCACCTGGATATCGGAATCCCACGCTCTTTATCATGCGAGTCAATCAGTATCTGGCACAGTGTCACCCGAGCTTCCTGCGGTTCGACGTCATGGTGGTGGTCGGCAGCGCTCAATTGCAGCTAAATGCGAGCAAGATTGCGATGGAAGGAGAATCCAAGCAGAATTCTACAGCACTGTCTTTCCTATTGAACCTCTCCAATCCATCGACCTTAACTAGATATACGCAGCAGCAGAATGGCAGACGAGAAAGTACCATCATACCCTGACGTGGAGCAGACCCTCTTCGATGATAAAGATGGGGCACCGCCGGCCCAAGTCCTCAAGCATGCAAATGATGCCGATGAAGCGATGAAAGCTTTTGAGGGCCATGACGGGGAACTGTTGGTCCTAGATGAAGCGACGAACAGAAGACTGCTGCGGAAGATTGACCTCAATATTCTGCCGGTACGTGTAGCATACAGCGACGGCAAAGGTCCACTGCTGACATGGCTATAGCTGCTATGCGTTGTTTACGGTCTCAACTATCTCGATAGTATGGCTTCCACCTCGTTGCCGGTGAACTGGTTTGACATGAGACAGAAACGACGCTATCATATGCCAGTGTGATGGGCATTAAGGAGGACATCGGCCTGGTAAATGATGACTACCAATGGTTGGGCAGCATGTTCTACTTCGGTACGCTCACCATACTATACTGTCTCCCTAAGCCTCATTACTGATGCATTGCAGGCTACCTCGCCTGGGAATATCCAACAAATCGACTCCTCCAGCGCCTCCCTCTCGCCAAATACTCCTCCTTCTGCATCATCCTGTGGGGCCTGGTCCTCTGCTGCATGGCAGCTGTGAAGAACTTTTCCGGCGCCATCGCCGTTCGCTTCTTCCTTGGTATCTTCGAAGCTGCCGTGACACCCGGCTTTGCACTCTTCTCGTCCCAATGGTACACCAAGAAAGAGCAAGGAACACGAATAGGAATCTGGTTCAGCTTCAACGGCTTTGCACAGATCTTTGGCGGGTTAGTAGCTTACGGCATTGCTAAAGGCGCGGCGCTGCACGGCTCATCCATTGCGCCTTGGAAGATTGTGTTCCTCGTCACGGGTCTCCTGACGGCGACGATCGGCTGCCTCTTCCTCTTTTTCGTCCCAGACAACCAGCTCAACGCACGCTGGCTCAGCAAAAACGACCGGCGCCTAGCCGTCGAAAGAGTCCGCGTCAATCAACAAGGGATCGGGAACAAGCATTTCAAAGCCTACCAACTGAAAGAAGCCCTCCTCGACCCCTTAACCTGGGCCATGGTCTTCTTCGCCCTCACAGGTGACATCCCCAATGGCGGCATCAGCAATTTTTTCAGCCAACTCATCGTCTCATTCGGCTACACAGCAGACCAAAGCCTTCTCTACGGCACACCCGGCGGCGCTGTTGAGGTTGTCTCTCTGATTGTTTGTGGCTACCTAGGTGACCGCTTGGGCAACAGAATTTTGGTTAGCACCTCTGGCTTGATGATTTCGATACTTGGCATGATCCTCATCGTTGCTTTGCCCTTATCCAATGACGGCGGCCGTCTGGCAGGCTACTATCTCACCCAAGCAAGCCCTACGGGCTTCGTTGCCCTTCTGTCGCTCATTTCCAGCAACGTAGCCGGCTACACTAAGAAAACAACCGTCGCTGCTTTGTACCTCATTGGCTACTGCGTAGGCAACATCATCGGGCCGCAGACATTCAGACCCAAAGACGCCCCACGCTACGTACCCGCCGAGATAACAATCATCTGCTGCTGGGCCGCATGCCTAGTAGATCTGTTGTTCATTTGGTGGTATTGCCAGAATCAGAATAAGAAGAAAGCGGCCTTTAGGGCGCAGCCGCAGTATCGGAAATTGGAGAATCAGGAGTGGCTAGATTTAACTGACAAGTGAGTCTGAACCCATCGCGGCGATGGGGACGACAGGCAGCACTGGGAATGAGTATGCTGACTTGCTTCTAGAGAGAATCCGGAGTTTGTATATACCCTCTGAATGACCTTGGTTGAGATATGTAACCAGTAGTGGGTTAGGCTTGGGCAAAAGATACGCTAGGCTTTGGGAATGGCATGGGATGAAGGGATAGACTGTTTGAGTATGGTACATATAGGGGCGAGTGCACGACTTGTTGAATAACGCCGTCTCTGGCAAAGGAGATGCCGAATCCATCTCTGCATTATATCAGACCGCTCCCGAATACCTTGCTGCTGTTTACCAGGAACAATCTATTCAATGGCCCCTCTTCACACTCCATCGAAACAATCATCAATGTATGAAACAATCTCGTAAGAATCTGCTACCGTTCTCAACGATAGGTACGTATTGGAGACAACCCACCCTAGCCTAAAATATCCCAAGGGTGCCCACCCTCCGAACGTGGAGTACGCAGCGTCTTCTGAATCAAGAATGTGGCTATGCTCAATCAAGAAGCCAAAATCTAAGCAGTGGAAAAGGCCTAGCTGGACATATACGAATAATATGGCTCGGACTGTATACAGCCTACTCAGAAAGGTGTCAACGACCGCAACGCCGTCACCTAGAGGATCGATTTTCCAACGCAGATATCCGCATGCAAGATGCTGTACTCCGCTTGCACCTATCTTCAACAAGCGGCTCGGTATTTGTCTCGGGAGACCATCAGGTCACATGCCCCGCACGATGACTCCGCTCAAAGTCTCACTTCGCCAAGCCATGATTCAAGGCGGCTTGTTGCAGGATGTCGATGTATGTATGGACCGGTCCTCAGGGTGCAAGGGAGCTGCAAAGGTTGCTCTCCTCTCAACGCCCTTGCATGCATGATGAGGTATAGGTACTTCATCATCTATCTGACGCTCGAGCGATGACCAAGTCAACGTTGATCGCTTGCCTAGTCCCTCTGGATTCTCGCATGACAGCTCGCCGCCGTAGTAGGACAGAGTATAGAGTGCACATGCTGCAGCCAAACAAACAGGGGCACGTCATGCTCTTCATATTCTCCGTCCATTCATCGCAGTGCACGAAAACGTCGTGGGCAATCACGAGAACAGCAAACCTTATCGATGATTTCCCCACAGAAATACAGCTTTCCCCGGGGAATTTTGTGGATCTTGTTAAATCTTTTCCTTCACAGTCCCAAGTGCACTCCGCCTTGGACGTGCTCGTTGAAACGCCTGGTTTTTGAGAAATAGTATTTTGCAGCCATGAGAGACAAAAAAGAGCTTCCCAGTCGAGAACCTAACCGCAGAGGTCCAAGAGCTGTTCAGGATCAAGACGAGAGGATACCCCGGCGTAAATCAAAGGTCGCGGATCCTCAAGATGACAGAGACCGAGACAGTCCATTGACAAGACATCGATCAGTAGCCATCCGCACTCACGAGAGAGAAAGAGGCCGAGACAGCATCTCCTATTACCAAGGTCGCTCTAGCCATGCCAGCAAATACATGTCGTCGGAGGAAGCCCAAAAGGCCATACGTACTCTCTTTAAGCAGGTGAAAGAGGTTATGTCATTCTTTGCCAATTTCAGAGAGGAGTATCAACGGGAAGTTCGTGGTATTGAGGTATACGCCGGCCACACCATCTTGGAGAAGCTGTGGGAGCGCAAAATCGAGGGTAATGACAGCAAAGATCTTCCGAGTAAGGGTCAGTCCAAAAGCGATGTTGTTGGTGTGCATTCTGGGTTCAATGACGCTTCATGTCGGCTTTGGGGGAGCCTCAAGGACGCGTATGAGGGTGCTAGGACTCATCCTTCCGAACAAAACAACGGCATAGCTAGGAAGCTGGACATTGCTATAAAGGATTTCCGCAAATTGCTCGAGGAAGTTCGGACCAGATCTCAGGGAATGGACGGTCTGATCAAGGAATTAACAGTGCTCAAAGTGGTGCTGGAACTCGGTGGTGCTGGGACGGCATCTCATGACGACAGACCGAACCAACGGCCCAGGACCCATGCCGCTGGCCGTGGGCACCCGAGGGACTCCTGCCCGGAAGGTGAAGATGCACGGTACGAAGGGATGGGAGAGGATAGTGGTAGTGAGGATAAAGGCCAGCATGACGAACAGTATGGTGAAGACTCTGAGCGATCCGGTGGAAGGGAGGAAAGCGAAGTCGGTCGTGATGGAGAAGGCCAAGGTGCGTTCCCCACAGATCAATCTGTCTAGTCGACAACTAACGTGTAATAGGGGATGGTGGTGGTGAGGGCTGGGATTAGTAGGCTGCACTTGGGGGTGTTCTTGTTGTTGCCGCTCGGTCTGTTAGTTCAGCTTCCAATTCCTGGCCATTCTAGCTTCCTTTTAGCTGTGCTCTTAATTAATCACGAACTGATGACCTACGAAATGTAGTCCGTTCCTTGTTGGTCTTCGAAACCGTGACTTCATCCCCAACATCAATCACCTGCCCAGCTGCTGCTCCCTTTAAGAACCCATAACGCCCAAAGATCGGGCTGTACTTGTTGCCCTTATCTACCCTCCGATCTTTCATCAGCTTCTTAAGGATATTTGCTTCGCCGGTTCCAGATTTGCCTGTCGAGTAGTCGACGTTGATGCTGACGCATCTTCCACAGTTCTGTGTCAGTACGATCTCTGTGACGTTATTCTTCTCCTGTTTTTTGTTTGGGTTTATGGTAATGCTACCCCAATAGTCCTCCTCGTATGCTGCTGCGGCACCTGAAAGGACAATGTTGGGTCGGAACTTCGTGACGTCCATTCGTGTACCGTCTTGTAATCGCGAATCGACATCTCGCAATGACTCTTCTGTGATAACGAGGTAGGCGGCAACATCCGCGAAGCTGATACCCTCTCCTTCCATATCCTTACTGGCTAAGAGGCTTGGTATACTTGTAGTGATGCTCGAAAGCCACGACTTGCTGGCAGCGCCGCCATCCTGAGCCGCATTGGGAGACAAATTCCCGAGCACCGGCCGTCGATTCGGCCCAAGGTATGACAGCATCACATCATAGCCAAAGCACTCTGAGAACCAAGCATTGACCCTCTCAGGCATCTTGTACCCCTTGGCAGGACTCTGGTGTAGCCGCACATCCATCTCTTCCAAGTGTGCCACCTCAGGCTCCAACTGTATCTCCAAGCTCCTTCTCGCTCTGTCTGGAGGATCGTAGGTGACTGTGAACGTCCCGTTCGAGTTGATGCTCTGGAGGAATAGTGCTAGCTCTGGGTAGTACGTGATGGTCATGTTCTCCAAGTTGCCATTGGCGTGGCTTTTAGAGCGGGGCGAGAATGTTTTGCCATCGTGAACTTTGACGAGCATAAAACGCCGGTCGTAGGGAAATCCATGTGGAGAGGCGATGGCTGTTGTGAGAGGGACGCTGCGGAGGGACTTGATAGGGTAAGTGTAGAGCTGTTGGAGGGTGCACGGTCAATCTAGCGCTACTGAGGAGAGACGGCCGAAAATGTAAGACATACCTGGGTGATTCTCATGTCTGCGTTTGCGGATAGCTGTCTGCTGTGGTTATGAAGGGAGAGTTGAGCGGCAGGAACAGAGAGGGCGGGGTCGATCGCGCTGTTTTGCCAAGTGCCAGGCAAGCTGCTAGAAGACTGCTGACATTACTTATGATCATAGAAAGAGCAACTTTGTGGGCTCTTAGAAACTCTACGAGTCAGCAAATAGCCCAGTCGAAGATGGAGTCTAAGCCCTTGATTGTGCATACAGTGAATAATTCGAGGCCCCATAAAAGCCCTGGCCAGCTTGGCTGCTGTGAGTCAAGAGACAAAGCATCAAAGGCTGGAGGCATCCCATCTCCACGAGTCGAAATAAACAAGACTCCGAAATCTAGAAGATATCATCTCAACGCTTTTTGTTCGCCAATGTTGGTGAAGAGCCCATGCCTCGATGCTTCTGCAGACCTTCCCCTCTCGAAGTAGAACTCGTAGCACTGAAAGCCTTCGCTTCTCATTCTTACCCTATGTCCTATCCCATCATCCGGCAGGGTGCATCATTCAAGGATTCGGCCCTACAGCCAAGACATTGTGCAGCCCAGGCGCCAGATGACGGGATAGCCTCGTGATGGGGGGTGAATTTGTTCCTCTCTAGCGCCTTCTGATTGGCACATTCCAATCACCACAGTGCGAAGACCGTCAGTCCGTCTTCTGTGGTCCTTTCGTTCTGTGCATTTCTAAAGTCTCAACAGAGTAACGAGGGTATGAACGTATTTTGTTGTGTGCCCGGGAAGAAGCTGGTCCCAAGCGAGGTGATAGCCTTATCAAGCCTTTCCTTCTCCGAGTGACAAAGAATAGCAATAGCACAACCATGACACATGGAAATAGTAATGCCCAGGGCGAAGCAGTGACGGGCGGTAAATCAAGGTCAGCTGCCAATGTAGAGATTCTTGGGGTCTTAGGCGCCAGGGGTTTGACAATGGTTTCCGGTGGGAGGGCACCGGCGTACATGGTAAAGCGGTTAAGTGATCCTCGAAAGCCTGTGTCAAGATCGTCCCAGTCCAGAGCGTTGAACCAGAGTTCTTGCCCGATCTTCGGAGAAGCGACGAGAGAGATAGACTCGTTGGTAAGCAGCTTGCCGTCAAGGAAGAGCTTGATCATGCCTGATTCTTTGCGATCAAAAATGATGGCCATCTCGTGTGGTCCGCTTTTGAGAGGTGCCACACTGTACCAAGACGTCAGTCCCCTATTCTAGTGCGCCTCAAGTGCAAATGCAAAGTCAGTATCCTCGACCTACCCGCCAGCAGAAACCCAGTCCATGTCATCAAATCTCAGGTACTCCTCTTTCGCCAACTTATTTCCATGCCATTGCACGTTCAGTGTAACGCCTGGAAAGGGGTCATCGTTCCTGATACGTATGAGTATCTCTCCACCTGTCTCCATCCTGATCTTGAATAATCCACATACTTCCCCGTCAGAGAGCGATTCTTTGCCCATGTGGAACTCTGTTCGGACAGTCTAGACTCTTGTGTCCCAATCGGCAGGCACTGGCAACACAGCATAAGAGCCAGTCGTAAGGTTTCGAAAAGTAAATGCTGAGGTCTCGTCCTGCTGTAGCAAAGTCCCATTTGGCGCCCATCCATGATGGCTAAAGCCCGAGGAATCGATCCATTTCGCGTCGAGATCGTCCGTTGCAATTCTGTAATCCGAGAATATCCTCTGGTCCTTCTCCTTTAAGTCTGAAGTCCAGGTAATGGTGCAGTTGACGTTCTTGTCTGAAGGAGTGGACTAATAGCCATCACTAATAAGGTTATCGAAGAGCTTCCTCAGCTTACAGAAGAGGGGGGTCTCTATCACCCGCACAACGTTGGGTGTGAACAGCTTTGCAAAGTCCTCTGTTGGATACCAAAGACGGGTACCATAACTTTTTCTCGATGTCCTGCCAGCTCTTCCCAAACGCCAGGCTTTTAAGGGCCGATTCACTGTCATCTTCATATGAGAGAGGGTAGAACCATGAATGTCCGTCTAGCACAGTCAAATCAGGGTCCTTGTCCTGGTACATTTCATATGGCGTCCTCGCCGATAAGTCTTCCCAATTCTGCTTCTCTCTTACATCACCGTAACGCTGCATCCATCTTTTCAGAAACGGCGACCCGGCTTTTGACATTATCATGCCGTTAGGTATACCATCGCTTCCCTTTTGCATGGCCATTACTGTTGATCGACTGGTGGGATCGTTGATGACACCGTCGGAAGACTTCAAGGCTACCAGGTCGTTGTCCATCATAATCCCTAAGATACGTCAGTGTATGTTGCCCGTAGCCCCAAGGGCTTGTAACGAACCTCCTTCCTCGTACAAGATCTTGAGCCTAACGACATCCACTTGGTGTTCCGAGCCCTCAATTCTAGCACCGGAGACTACCGTAGGCAGAGCAATCCTCCGGAGCCACACCTCTGGCATTCCCAGGATCCAATTCCGTATCTGTGCCTCCAGCTTGAGCTCCTCTGGCAGCCATACATTGACGGTTTCCATCCCAAGATTGACAATGGCAGCGCGGATAACAGCGTATTCTAGTCACGATAGCTGTCTCACATTATTGTAGACGAAATGGGCAACCTTGGGTATGTGTTTAGTTTGGGGGATGGGTTCTGCATGTTTGCCGAGAATGTGCTGGAAGTCGGGATCTAAGCATTGCGGATTGGAGTACTGGTGGTCCATTGGTGAGAAAGACAAGTGACTCTACACGTGAACCAGCGAAAGAGGTCGAACTTCCAAGGCTTTCTGTAGAGTTAAAGATTCGACTCTTGGAAAACAGTATGAGAATTGTAGATGCTGGACGCTCTTTGAACTAAGTTTCGGAAAGGACAGTTCAAAAAGCGCTTGGTCGAAGCTGTTGGCATTCGGGATGGGGCATAGAGGCAGGATAAGTTTATTTTGTTTCGAGCGCACCTACCGCCATGGCTTGAATAAGGCAAGCAATGATGAAACTTCTTTCATGATTGTTTGAGCCCGAAACATCGTCTATCGCAAGATCGCTTCAGACGAAGCGTACTCATACGCGGGCCGATTTTTCTCCGGTGTTACTTCCGAAGACAGATCCCGTAGAACCTGGTGCTGCATCAAAAGCTTGCTGGTGTCATGCAAGTTGTCAGTAAAAGTGAAACCCAAGGTGCTGGAAATCTCAGATTTTGACAGCGTTTGGAAAATCAACCCGGAAAATCTGTTATCCATGAATAGAATCATTTGGTGCGGAGCATTGCATAACAGACAGCCTCATGGTTGACGCTGCTCTGATCGATCTTTTAGGGATACGTGTCCTCTCGACTGCCATTTTGTCTGGCACCAGCTGGCACCTTGCCCAGTGTTTCGTGCCATTTCACAATTTCTTTTTCACAATTTCTTTCTCTGTGCTTTGACAAAGTAGCCAAGCTTGGTCAAATTAAACACTCTAGTAAAATAGTAGTCCCAGAACATTCTCGGCATCAACGTGAGGAGCAGCCAGACGCTCCATGCCTGGTGTCCTCTCCACAGTGATCGTGCAGGCTTGGAGCCCAGCGCTGCCCTCACCACACCCTCCGCATATACTGTACTTTCAGTAGCCCCCTCCTGCGAATGTTTTTGTCTTCTCTCATATTCAATCTTGAGCGGGTGGTATAGGGAACCTTCTGGCAGCTCTCGACGAATGCTGGCAATGTTGCTTTTGACACCACCCGTCACCACCACCATCACATTGACATCGAAAGGCGCGAGCTCAACGCGGAGAGTGTCGCTGTAGGCGTGAAGAGCTGCTTTGGATGCGTTGTATGCAGAGCCGAAGACGTAGGGAATTACTGCGGCGACGCTACCAATCTGGACTATGGTGCCCTTTGCTTGGATGAGGAGAGGAGCGAAAGCCTGGCACATCCGCATCACGGAGAAAACATTGGTCTCGAACGTGGCTTGGACCTCAGAGAGATCGACGTCCAGAGCTGGAATAGTATAATTGCGTCCAGCATTATTGACCAGATAGTCCAAGGAACCATTGGTCCGTTCGGAGATATGCCGCTTGACTTCTGCAACGCTTTCGGGAGAAGTGACTTCTAACTGCAAGGCTTCGACGCCTAAAGCCTTGAGGTCTGTAACTGCTTTTTCGTTGCGAGCTGTAGCAAAGACATGGAGGCCTTTGGACTGGAATTGCGTAGCCAAGGCGTAACCTATACCACCTGGGCTGCAGCCCGTGATCAATACTGTCTTTCTTCCCTCCATTGTCAAGGTATACGTTTTCCGGGCACTTCTTAAGACAGGTAGTAATAGCGGGACGGGTTTTTGCTAATCGTTACGACTAGACCAAAAGGTGATCACTAAAGTAGTAGCCGTCACTAAACAGTAACTTAATACTAGTTGTAGGCTTGAAAGCGTATGACCGCTTTCCTACACATCTACTGCCCCAGGAAAAGAAGACGCCGCGCCCCCGCGGACAAGAGTGGAGACTGATACACCTAAAAGAACGGCGCAATCTCTACCTTCTACCAAAGCCACAAGCGCGCAATCGCACCGTTCGCCAGAAGTGGGACGGTAATCCCAAAAGAAGTCAGCTTCCGAGTCTGACAACAAATGCTGGATTAACGGGCACCCAGCTTACTACTTACTACGGACACGACCGTCAATTTGGTATACTCACATCTCCCCGAAGAGGTCAGAGGTATTTAATTCGTAACAAGTTCGATTCCTATTGGCGCTGGTACAATGGTAATGCGGTGTTTCTTATTTTTTCAATGTATGGGAAAGCGGTCGTACGCTTTCAAGCCTACAACTAGTACAAGTTACGTTGGTCTAGTCATAACGATTAGCAAAACCCGTCCCGCTTCTCCCAATTCTCCACTCAAGAATCAGGACATTGAAGCTGCCACATAAAATCTCCTTTCCGCGCTGAGTTCTCGTTGCCTTCCCACAATGGAGTGCAAAAGTCTCTTGAGTGCTGAGCCCATTCAATCCTACGGAGGATCCAGACACGGGTTCGAGCTTCAAGGTGGACGGCAGCGTCCCTGCTCAACGTCGACATGGCCACCAGTACCACCGTGATGGAAATGGCAACTCTACCCTCTTCCAAAGACCAACCAATTCCCTTGCAAACGCCAATGTGGGGAAATTCGGAACTCCCTGGGCCCATTGCTAGCCATGTCGTGGAGACTAAGCAGAGATGGAACAGCCCACGGATCAATACATACCGTCTGGCTGCCATCTTTTTCGCATTCCTCAATTTTGGAATGAATGATGGCTCGTACGGTGCATTGGTACCATATGTAGGCAATCACATAAGCAGCGAGTCTTACAGGAAATGCTGAATACTGATTCTTCAAGATCGAAGCAGACTACGGCCTATCCTACACTGTCACCTCCCTCGTCTTCCTCTCTCCCTTTGCCGGCTACACCTTCGCTGCCCTCTTCAGCGATCGTCTGCATCGCCTCGGTGGCCGGCGTGGGATTACAGTTCTCGCGCCTTCATGCAAAGTCATCGCTTACATCGTCATTGCTACGCACCCTCCATATCCTGCCGTGGTGACTATCCTTGCTCTTGCGGGGGTCGGCAACGGACTTCTCGACGCAGCATGGAATGCTTGGATTGGCACATTGGACCATACGAACCAGCTTCTGGGATTGTTGCATGGCTGCTATGGGCTTGGAGCGACGATCAGTCCCTTGATAGCTACCACTATGGTCACGAAGGGGCACCTAGGCTGGTGGACATTCGAGTACATTATGATTGGTGTTGTGACCCTGGAGATATGTGGAGGCACTTGGGCATTCTGGAAAGAGACGGGTGCGAAATACCGTGATGACAACAGTAGCGCCGACAGCGATGAAAAGGGCAAGACAAGTCTGGCCTTGAAACAGAAGGTCACTTGGATTTGTGCGGTATTCTTGCTTGCGTATGCGGGGACGGAGGTTTCTTTAGGTGGATGGATCGTCACCTTCATGATACGTGTCCGCCACGGTCAACCCTTCGCTTCTGGTATGACAGCCACGGGCTTCTGGCTCGGTATCACCATTGGACGAGTGACTCTCGGGTTCATCACTCCCAAGATTGGCGAAAGACTTGCTGTTGCCCTCTACATTATTTGCTCTCTTGGGCTTGAGCTACTGTTTTGGCTCGTGCCTCAATTCATTGTCTCTGCCGTTGCCATTTCTCTCGTGGGCTTTTTCATAGGTCCTTTATTCCCATCTGCTGTCATCATGGCGACGAAGCTCCTGCCACAAGAACTTCACGTGGCTGCTATAGGGTTTGCTGCTGCTGTAGGCGGAGGAGGGGCCGCTGTCCTCCCCTTTGCTGTTGGAGCAATAGCAAATGCCAGAGGCGTGCAGACTCTACAGCCTATTATTCTGGCATTACTGGCTGTACTGTTGGGTATCTGGCTGTTGCTGCCACGGATTCCCAAACATCTCCACGAAAGCTGAAATCCAGATTTCTTTTGGATATAGGCCAGCTGGGTTACAGCGCGATGTAGATAGAAAAGACCATAAAGTATGTAGATACAATTTAAGGGTGACTGTCATCCGATACTCCACAACGATCTCACGAGGAGGCTTGAATACCCTATAAACTTTAGCATCTCCACGACATCAATGTGATAGTCCAAATTTCTTGGGGCATAATACCCTAAGTCCTACCCAACTCGATAGGCCCACGCCGAATAAAGAAGACCTGGCCGCTTGATGCGGCAGATCCTTCCCGCCTCTTCTCGCACTCCTTCCCTTTCCACTCCTTCCTTGTTCCCAGTAAAAGCATCCTTTCCTTTGATTGTAAGGACTGCCACTTGTCTTGTTTTCACATATAGTATTTAAAGATCTCATTTGATACCTTCTATTCCAATGTCTTGTGAGAGTGTGCCCCACCAAGGCGGAGAGAAAGGGATTTATTGAGCGGTGTGACAGTCCCAGATCACCTGCTAACGTTAGAGCCTCCAATAGCGTCTCAATGTGCGGTACCGAATGCAGTATAAAGTATTGATTGAATAACCTTTACCAATACTACTCCAATGGTTTTGAGAGGCCTGAAATGCCCCATGTGTTTGAAGTACTCACGGAGCATGCCTCACACTCCATATCCCATTCCTGCCACTAAAACAACCACCTTTCCAAGCTTCTTCGCTGGGCTCTTCCAACTTTGCTAGATTCTTTGAAAGTCGTGAAGTTATGTTTTCCAGTCTGTCTCTGTGCGTTTTGCCATGCATACTGCCATTGTTTGATCAAGCACGAGTTCCCTATATTGTTAATGGATTTCTGTCTTCCGACTTACTGGTTGGCTTGTAGGTCCTAGGAAAGGCTTCTGATACGATCCTGTAATGGATGTCTTATTCATGCAGTAACCCATACTTGCTAGGAAATTTCACAGTGAAGACATAAATATTTAGGCGGATTGGACCCGTGCTGGAGCTGACAGTACGGTCATTGCTCGGCACTGCATGGTCATTGTTCGGCGCTGCACACTTCGATCCTACACACTTTCAACTATCAGAAACATTCCCGACTTATGATGATCAGTCCTTGTCTTGCTGCAGATGGAAAAAGCCACACATGCGATGGAGATGAGCTTAGACATATTACCCAATGCGGACGACAATCGAGCTAGAGATCTGGAAGTCATACACCTCAACAGGATGAGCTCAAATATATCATCCAGTGCAGACCAGAACAAAGCTCGTGGTGTGCAGCAAACGCCTCGAGATGCCCTTAACAACAAAATAGATGAGCTGGAGCAAAGGCTAGCTGCCCTGACCGCCGACATTTCTCCTTCAAAGGTCATCCAATGCCAGCTTCAGAACCGCAGAAGAGCAGACGTCACCCACACCACTCTCCCAAAATGCTCTGGGAAAGCGTAAGGAACAAGACTCGCCGAAGAGGCCAAATCCAGTCTCGTTTCCACCTCGGAGCAGTAGACGTCAGAGTTACACCAACACACAAACGTCTTCCCGCCCTACAACATCGCATCGAGCCTCTACCAGACCATCCACCAGACGCAATTCCACAGCGCCGACTTCGCAGGTCCCTTCAGCCTCTTCCTCCAGACGCGAAGGTCGAGCGCCGACAACGACTCGTCCGTCGGCCTCTTCTTCCAGGCGCTCTTCGTTCAGGGTCAATCAGCCAGCTAGCACTCAGACTAGTCGACCTGCTCGACTTAACCGAAGGAACAACACTACTTGGCCTCCTCCTACAGTCCTTCGTGACGGGAAACAGGCTCTCCAGTCTCTCCGAGCATTCTCAGACCTCCGCGATGACGTTTACTCTGCCATGCAAGCCGAAGAGCGTCTGAAATCAAGCAGCCTACCTACCCTTCCGCGTCCCACAACAGCAGACACAACGGCCGCCCTCATCGGTCTCGACAGCAAATGATGTGGGCACGGGAAGCTCGCAGGACCGTCACGAATACTCAAATCACGTCCCAGCCGCCAACATCGACTGGACTTCGGCATCCACCCGCCGCCGCGAGTACGAGAAGATCGACCAAGCACGCAGCGGCTTGCGCGGCTTCATACGACGCGTCACCCCGCGTATCTTGCGGCGGAAGACTGGTCGAGTCGGCTTTCATGATGATGGCAAAGGTAGCGATGCGGGGACGGTGAGGCGGTTCAGGATGGATGTGGCGGATGGGGATAGTGCTGTTGACGAAAGTGCAAAGAGCCACTGGTGGAAGTTCGGCAAGAAGAAGAAGGCGAAAGGGAAGGGCACGTCGTCATCCACAGAGCTATGAATGGAGTCGAACGTATAGGATACTGCCGAGGGGGCAAAGGGGCGTTGATTCGGCGCGCGTACGAGGGTAGAAGAGGTCTCAGGAGGGTCAATCGGAGTTGTATAGTCACAGTACCCGAGAAGAAGCCACAGATCTACTCTTGATGCTTCGAGTAGTTCAATGCTTCAGCTTCCAGTGTGTAACTATTTCACATCGAGCCATAGCCAAGTAATCACAACCAGCAGCACATTCCCCCCCCCTCCCCCGCCACCTCCCCCCTCCCAGCACACATCTAAAACACCAGCGCGGCCCCCTTCGTCTTCTTGTCCCCCCCCAGCTCAAAGTGCTTGCACCGCTTCAACGACAACTGCGCCTTGGTCTTACAGTTCGTGCACTCGAGCCTCAGCACGACCTTCTTCGTCGTCTTCGCCTTCTTGTGGAACACGGGCTTCGTCTGGCCCCCGTAGCCGGACTGCTTGCGGTCGTAGCGGCGCTTGCCCTGGGCGACCGAGGATGCCTGCACGGAACGCACGGGGGGGCGTCAGTCGGGCGGGGTGTACCGGACGGTACGGTACGGCGGAGATGGGGGTCTGGGGGAGTGGGGGGGGTGGTGGTGGAAGAGGGGGGGGGGGGGGTGTGACGTACCTTTCCGGCTTTGTATTGGGTGACTTTGTGCTGGGTGTGCTTTCGACACTCTTTGCCCTTGCAGTAGGTGCGGCGGGTTTTGGGAACCTGGGGTGCGAAAGTTTCGGCGTCAGTATTGCCCGTTTGAGGGGGGACTGTAGCCAGAGGGCTTGAAGGATGATTCGAGGGCGAGAACAACTCTCAACGCTGACGATAGGGCGGAAAAGAGGGGGTATGGGTTCCGAAGATACGTACGTTGACCTAAAGGGGTAGATACGTTAGCAATGGTACGGCTGCAAAAAAAAAAAATTGGCTCCCGGTCCACAGTGCAGGTGGAGAGGGTGCCTTGGTGCTGATGTTCCTCCTCTTCAAAGCTGCTTTGGCGGAGGATATCGAACCCCACGGAGCTCCTGTTCTTGCCTTTTGGCATTTTTTGTCTTTCTTCGGGTCTTGCTCTTGAAGCCATCCCTCCTCCAGCTCGATTCCAATGTAGCCTCCTCTCCTACCGCCCCTCGCCCTTCAAGCTCGCATTCCACCTGTTCCCATTTCCCGCAGAGCCAGCAGGCTCTTCTCCCGAAGCAACTGGCGGGAATGTAGAGAGAGTGGAGAGCTTACCATCTTGACTGTATTCAGGTGGTTTGGTTTCGTACGATAGAGCGGTCAATGTTGGTGTGGTCGCGGACGCCGATGAGGTTCGGATTTCAACTTCTGGGGTGCGGCTCGCTTGGAAATGTGTGCCAAGGCACTAGTTTTCGGTGGCAAATATCTCCGATCCTCCAGGCTCAGACTCAGCCAGCAGAACAGCTTGCTTCAGGACGAGAGACTGGGATCATAATGATCTGGTCGACCTGATACGGAGAAGAAGTTCTGAGATCTTGGTCCAAGTCTTTCTACAGTGTGCTTCCACGTCGGGTTTAGAGTGCGGTAATTGCCTGATACATTGCGTAAAGGAAATCCAAAGGAGTACAATGCCCAAGACCTCAATCTTGGTCAAAGTTGAAACCTTTGCCCTCATGATGACTATGCCCACCGCCATACCACAAAGTCCCCTTCCGATAATCCAGTCCTTTCTCTTCGCCCACAGTCCAGCTCCCTTCGCTGGTCAAGCTGTCTTCAGACCAGTACTTAGCCCGTAGCTCTCCATTGATCTCTTCCAGCGTTCTCACAAGCCCTTCGATCTTCCCACGATCAACGGCGTTGCCGTCTTTGTTCGAGATATCCTTCTGAGTGACGAAGCGTGCGATTGTAAGATGAGAAGATGGGACAACGTAACGAGAAGCCACTTCGACGCCCGCAGATCTGCAAAGACCGTACATGTCTCTGCGTAGATGGTGATAGGTGTAAGCATCAGCGTTGGCGGCTTTCTCTTCTGGTAAACCTTCCCCAGCGGCCGGTAGAAAGCTCAAGGCAATGGCTGCAGCGTCGTAGCTTAGCATTGGCTTAACGAGTCGGGCTCGATGATCGTATGTAAAGTCTGTAAGCTCCGGCACTTTGCTCTCCATAGTATTCACGAGATGCTCGATCTCCGCCTCTGTTTTGGAATGCGTGATTTCGAGAACGGTCATGTGAAGACATCCGACAGGCATGAGCCAGAGACCTGCAGCAATGAGCATGTAATAAACAGGCAGCATTCAATTGCTGACTAGGTGCATATCCAAGTAGCCGCTTCTGTAAAGTTTCCACGAGCTGCCGGATACGTTTTGGTGGTCTTGCCCAAAAGACCAGGCAATTTCTCGGATCGACGTATCCTGGATTTATCTCTGGGTTGACGAGCTTGTGCAGCACTTCGTCTATGATGAATCCTGAGAAATCTGGAGAGGTCAACTTGCTTTTTTGTTGGTCATTCCGAGTCTCGCGGTGCGTCTGATAGCGAAGCTGAATTTGTTTCTCGGACAATCAGCTCTCCAGTCACACATACGCTTGGTTTTCGTGGTGTACCGGTTCTTGTTTGCATGCTTCGAGCAATGCATCGTATGGATTTCCAGTCGTGGAATTTGAGGTACCGGAGAGGTCTGCGAAGACATTGCCATCGGCTATGCGAGACATTATTTCAACGGATATCTGATAGCAAATTTCCTCGGTCTACCTTGCTCCGGCTGCTCTCCGTAAGGACTAGCCCTTTGAGTAGGAGTGGGACCGGAGCAATACAAACAATGGCTATAGCGCAGTAAATTAGAAGTAGGCTCATATTCCAAAGTAAAACGCAGAGTTGTACCCACCGAGTCAATCTAGATTGACATTGCTCCGATGATGATGATGATGATGGCTTAGTGAGAGTGATAGTGAGGCGTCCAGTGCACAAATCAAAGAAGCAGCGGATCACAAGATTGGAGCTCAATAGAAGTGACAATGGGTTGCCGTTTGTTTGAGACGCTGTAAGGATTCCAGTACGACGATTGTATTCTAGAGCACTAACTCAGAGCTCTGATGAGCATTGCCTACCGCTCCAGATTTGAAGAAGAGGAGTTCTGGTGGGTAGGAGGTGTTGATTATCTATGAAGCAGGAAGGCTGCAGCAGGATATATCCCCCCCCCCCCCCCCCCCTTTTTTTTTTTTTTTTTTTCTCCCCTCCCCTCCCCCCCCCCCCCCCCTCTTTCCCTCCCCCCCCCCCCACCCCCCCCCCCCCCCCCCCATAAAAAACCACCCCTACCTTTTAAAAAAACAAACCACCAACCCAAACCCCAACAACCCACTTTTTTTTTTTCCCTCCCTTTAAAAATTTTTATTATAATAAAAACCTTCTTTTAAAACCTTTGCTTTCTCTTTTTTTTTCCTTTTTTTTTTTTTTTTTTTTTTAACCCCCCCCTCCCCCCCCCCTTTCTAACCCAAAATTTTTTTTTTTTTTTTTTATTTTTTTTTTTTTTTTTTTTTTTTTTATTTTTTTTTTTTTTTTTTTTTTTTTTTTTTTATATTTTTTTTAAAATAATTTTTTATAATATTTTTATAATTTTATTTAATTTTATTATTTTTTTTTTTTTTTTTTAAATAATTTAATTATTTTAATTTTTTTATTTTTTAATTTAAATTTTTTTTTTTATTTTATTTATTTTTTTTTTTATTTTTTTTTTTATTTTTTTTATTTTTTTTTATTTTTTTTTTTTTTTTTTTTAAATTTTTTTTTTTAATAAATAATAAATAAAATTTTTTAATATTTATTAAATTAATTTTTTTTTTATTAAAAAATTTATTTTAAATTTAACCAATTTTTTTTTTAATTTAAAAAAAAATTTTAAAAGTTAAAAGGTAAATTTTTTTAAAAAAATAGACTTCTTCGGGCGAATTACTAATTCATATCCTAAAAGTATAAATCCTTATCGAATCATACCCCTAATTACTGAATCATACCCCCACATCAAATTTCACCCAAATATGGGGTATGATTTGATAATTTGCCATTGCTTGGGGTATGATTTGATACTTTGCCATTGCTTGGGGTATGATTTGATGAGGATCTTGAATAATAGCTTTCTGATATACGGTAAGAGGGTTTAATGAAGTTAATGGTAGCGGTAGGCTTACTGAACGTCTGGTAGTAGTCGTCGACTTGATTATTGATGACGGTGGTGTTTGCGCTGCGCAACGGGGCGGGGTTCGGGGCGGGGTTTGACCCCTAAGCTTACCCCGCCCCGTTGCGCAGCGTAGTAGGAATTATTCCTTCGGGGGCCCTACGGAGCCTACGGGACCCGAATAGGGGTGTCTGCAGCGTGAAATGCGGACACCCCCGGGCTCGAAATTTCGCTCACTCGACTTTCGTCTGATGTTTTTAGGCTGATGGAATTCTCATCAAATGCGGTCGGAGAAACTCCCTTATTTCTATGATCGAATAAGCCAGATCGCGGATTATCTCCTTCGTACTTTGAGGCCACTTTAATAACTTATCAAATCATACCCCAAGCAATGGCAAATTACCGAATCATATCTCATATTTGAGTGTGATTTGATATAGGGGTATGATTCGGTAATTAGAAGTATGATTCGGTAAGGATTCGTACTTTCGAGGTATAATTCGATAATTTACTCGACTACTTCGATAGCTATAATAACTAGTCTTATACTTCGCTATAAAACTCGATAAGAAACTTAAATCGTATATAGAATAAGCTTATAAAGCTAATAATAGTTTACTAAGACGAAGCTAACTCGTTAAGAAGACGAATAGCGTTAGAAGTTATATCGACTTAGTTATTAGCGTTATTTATAAGAAGTAGATTAAGTTATTCGAGATACTACTTTAACGTATACTCGTAATCGAATATTATAATATAAAAGTATTTTAGTTATTAAGTAGCGAATACTTTATTATCGAAGAAGTAATTACTACGAGTAAATTAAGAATTAATCGACTTATAAGCTATACTTATTATAGACTTTAGAAATAAAACGAATTATTAAAAAAAGAAATAGGCTTAAAAATAGATATAAAAATAGATACGATAGATCTAATAAATTAAAGAATAAGAATACTCTTTAAGACTACTATAACTTCTTAACTCGATTATTAGATTTAAAGAAGAGAAGTTCTAGTAAATAGAAGATATTAATTATCTATAAAGTAGAAAGACTATAGTAGAATATATTTTATTAGACTAAGTCGCTATTATATATATAGCTAGCTATAAATATCTATAAGAAAGTTACGCTCTATAACTACTTTATTAGAGAGTATAAAAAGTTATTAAGTAAATTAGATCGAATTTGAACGTAGTATTATAGTAACCTCGCTAAAATTATTTATTTACATCTATATCTACTATTCTTCTCTCTTTTATTACATAATAACGATAATATTATATACTTCTTATAAGAAAAAAATATTAAAAATAAATCGTCGTAAGGTCGATATCGTTAAAAGATCTTAATTCTATAAGGTCGTCGATATTCGAGATATAAAATTATTAAAACTAATCTATTAGAAGAAAAATATTAAAAAATCTATAAGAGATTATTAACTTACGTAATAATATTATATTACTTTAAAGATAGTCTATCGTATCTATAAATCTAAAAAGTTTCTATAAAATTTAAAATTGCTAATCGCGCGTATATCGCGGAAATTATAAAATTCGTCGAATTAGTAAATCTAATTAGAATCTATCTAAATTTCGTCGATTTAGTAACTATTTTAATCTTTTCTATTAATTCTATTAGTTTAATAGTAATACGTATAAAAAAAGAAAAGTTCTAATAATTAATATTATAACGATAAAGTTTTATAATAACGAGTATTAATATTAACTTAAATTTAACTATAGAATTAAACGATTTAATAAAATTAGTCGTATAAGTAATACTTTAATATAGTATATAATAATACGTATATTAATAATAATATATATTAATATTATATATATATAGAATAATACTTAGAGTATATTAAAGTATATTACGTAAAAATTTTAAAGTTATTAAAAATTTTTAAAGTTACTAAAT